CAAAAAGACTTTATACTGAAAGAAGCTTTAAATATGAACTAGTCAAGGAAATAAATATAAACCAAGATTTTATATGTAGACAAGTTCAAATGACAAGCAGAACTAGTACATAAATATGCAAAAGCTGAGGAAATACTGTTTCCAAGAATCCTTCTTAAGAATTCTACCAGTAAGCAACATGAGAAAAGTCAAATGAGCTGGATGTAGTGGTGCACATTGTAATTCTAGCAGTCTAGAAGGCTGAGGCAGGACAATTGTGAGTTAAAACCCTGCCCAAACAACTTAGTGACTAGCAAGACACTATCTAAAAATTAAAATGGGCTTTGGGTGTAGCTCAGTATGAAGGTCTGGGCTCAACCTTTAGCTCCAAAGACAAGCCAAAGGAAAGGAGGAAGGAAGGGATTAAGTCAAGAAAAGAAACAGAGAGGGAGATACAAAGAGGAGTCCTAGGAATAGTGTGTTCAAGGCCAGTCTGAACTACATAGCAAGACTCTGTCTCAAAACAAAAAGAGGGGCCGGGAGATGGCTCAGTGGAATAAGCGCTTCCTTGTGGCAAGCACAAGGCCCTGAGTTCAACCCCCAGTTCTACAAAACAAAACAAAACAAAACAAAAGAGGGCCAGGGATATGGCTCAGTGGAATAAGTGCTTCCCTGGCAAGCACAAGGGCCTGAGTTCAATCCCCAGTTCTGCAAAAGAAAACAAAACAAAACAAAAGAGGGCCAGGGAGATGGCTCAGTGGAATAAGTGCTTCCCTGGCAAGCGCAAGGGCCTGAGTTCAATCCCCGGTTCTGCCAAAAAAAATTAATAAATAAATTTTAAAAAGAAAAGAGAAGAAAAAGGTAAAGGAAAAAAAATCACAACGAAATACTACATCACACCCATCAGAATGACCAATATTAAAAATTAGGAAACGACAAATGTTGGGGAAAAGACAAATAAATTAGAACTCTTTTTATATTACTAATAGGAATTTAAAATGGTATAGCCACTATGCAAAACAGAACTTTGGCAACATAAAATGTTCCCATAAGCTTATCATATGATCCAGGTAGTATACTCCTAAGTAAAAACCCAAAAGAACTGAAAATCAGAGACCCAAACAGATAAGTATATACTAGTGCTCTACAGCAATATTATCCAGAGTAGCCAAAAGGTAAAAACCCTCAAATGTTCACTAAGAATAGAACAATTAAATGTGAGATAAATGGAGTATTTTTGACCGAGGGAGGGGGGTAAAATGCCAATACTTGCTCTACCTGGAGAACCTTAAAAACATTGTGTTATGTGAAACTAGACAAATATGAAAGGACAAATGTTAAAGATTCTCCTCATGAGAGGTATGTAGGACAAGGATTCCGAGGTACAACACAGGTCAGTTGTCAAGGTACAGAAGAAAGGAAAAGAGCCAGGTGTGGGGTGCACATCTATAATGCCAGCACTAAGAGGCTGTGGCAGGAGGATCACTGTGAATTCAAGACCAGCCTGGGCTACAAAGTGAGCTCAAGGCCAGCCTGAAGTACACGGTGAGACCAACAAAAACAAGTACACAGTGAGACCAAAAAAAAAAAAAAAAAAAGAAAGCAAGAGAAATGAGAGGTATCATAAGTAGAGCTTCACTTCCCCAAAAAAAGTTTTGAAGATGGATGAAAATACTTCAAATCATTAATATGTACACTTAAAATGGTTAATACAGTAAATGTGTTACATGTATATAACATAAAGGTGAAACAAAAACTTAAAAGGTCAAAGTAGGATACTAGTAAAACAAATTTAAAATCCTGAGAAATAAAAAGAATTAAGCAACTATGCTGCCTTTCTTATGAGAACAATATCAAAAAATAATAATAATGAGGCTATGTGCCTCTTGCTTTATTTTGTTTAGTTTTGGTTTTGGTTTTTTGAGACAGGGTCTCACTCATCATGTAGTTTAGGTGACCTAGAACTCATTATGTACTTCAGGTTGGCCTCCAATTCATGGGAATCCTTCCACCTCAGCCTCCCAAATGTTGGGATTACAGGTGTGCAGCTCCACATTTGGCTGAGGTTGTGTGCTCCTCTATATCCACGTTCTAAGGACAAATGTATAATAAATGACATGCCGAGTCACCACTTTATAATCCCTAAAGAATTAGTAGATCAAAAATTAAGCAATAATAGCTGCTAAATCAGAGAGAGAGAATATGAATGAATCAAAAATTAAGAAATGGAAGAAGGGCCAGGGAGATGGCTCAGTGGAATAAGCACTTCCCTGGCAAGCTCAAGGGCATAAATTCAATCCCAGGTTCTGCAAAAAAAAAAAAAAAAAAAAAAGGAAGAACACAGCACTCCTATAGACGTGCCAAAAGAAAGACACCTCTTCTGGATGAAGACTCTGGACCCAGTTGCCAATTTGGAAGGAGAGGATGGAAGAAAAAATTAAACTGCATCATAAGTACGTGCTCAACAAAATATGGTCCAGAAGGAAACTCTATAGTCTATACATATAGCAGAGAAAGAAAGGTGAATGGGGTCCTATAAGTTAAGTCTCCCTCAAGGTTGGCGCTGCCGTGGGAGCAAGGCTTCTAGATTGCATGGCCAAACATCATGTCTTAGCTGGGGTGACAGGTACAGGGTGTTCATTCACTTTGTAACAACCTATTATGTTACTAGCAGTTTGCTGTATGTTTTATTTTATAATACAAAATATTGGGGGATTTGGTACAGGGAATCAAACTCAGGGCCTCACACTTGCAAAGTAGACACTGCACTGCTGGGCTATATCCCCAGCCTAGAAAATTGTTTTAGAATTGACATTTTTTTGTATCAAATGTCCAGGTGTGAGCACATCCTTTGATTTCCTTCTGTGTCCCTCTTTTTCAAAATCCAAACAAGATCCCTGTACTGTGCTGACACATTTACTCTATCCAGCTGGGTTTTTTTCCCCTCTCCTTTTATTATTATTTTTTTTTTGGCAGGACCAGGGATTGAACTCAGGCCCTTGTGCTTGCCAGGGGAGCGTTTATTCCACTGAGCTATCTTCCCGGCCCCTGCTTTTATCCTTGATTTATTTATTTATTTATTTATTTTTTCCTACAGTTTTATTGATAAACATATA